AGCTCCACCCCCTTCGTTGTCGCCCACCCTCTAGAAGTCGAGACAACTGATACTTGTTGAGTAATGCTAGTTACAACATCTCTGACGCCGCCTTGCTACTATTTCCCCATAGCCCTACACCTTCCGACCTTGCCTCCACAATTCCAAGCCCCTAACAACCACCACCACTCGAGATTCATCCTAGTTGAGTGTTTGTATCATGTCTGTTGTTATTTAATATTTATGGTTGTCATGTTATTATATTTTTCCTTAAAGTGTATTGGTTGTAACCGTTTATTTGTTTTATGTAATACTTGTTTTTTCTATTGTTGTTTGGGTTAACTCTACTCCTCGTGAGCAACAAACCTAAGAGGTTTATCCATGTATACCCCTTTCAAAAGATCACTATACAAAAAAACATTCTTCACATCCAATTGGTGCAGAGGTCAATTATTCATTGCACCCAAGGATAGGAGTGGGTAAATCAAAGTCAACTTAGCTAACGAAGAGTCCGTCCAAATAGTTCCTATAAGTTTGAGCATAGCCCTTAGAAACCAACTGAGCTTTGAGACGAGCCACAAATCTAACAAACTAAAATTAACTGTAAAGGCCCACTTATAGCCAACAACCTTCTTGCCAGAAGAAAGTTCAACTAGTTCTCAAGTTTCATTTTCAATTAAGGAATTCATCTCAACAAGCATCGTTACCTGCCACCAACATGGGATAGGGCTTGCCACACAAATCTTGAAACCTCAACAACATCCAAGAAGCAACAAACGAGCAATAATTGGAAGATAACTGATTATAGTTAACAAAGGAGGAAATGGGATAGCACATCTACATTTACCTTTTCGAAGAGCAATATGTAAAGTAAGTTCACTGGGAGGAGGATCCATTGAGGAAAATGATAATGGTGCCTGACTAGGATCAGAATAAAAAAGTCTTCTCGAGCAAACATTAGTGATAAGTAGTATAAGTTGACGCACTGGAGGTGGAGCTCGAGCAGGATCTGAATTTATGATATGATACATTAACAATACATTAGAATTTTGTGAGAATTTAGGCACTAATGAGTCACAAAAAATTGGGTTTATTCAAAAAAGGTGATATCAGCAAAAATCATGTACCTCTTTAAGAGGGAAAAAATATTGATAACCTTTCTGAAGAAGAAAATATCCTAGAAAGACATATCTTAATCACATGGGGTCCAATTTAGAAACTTGTGGAAGATTATCATGAACAAAATAAGTACACCGAAATATGTGTGGCTCAATAGGAAAAAGAGAGTTGGAAATAAAATTTGGTAAAGCGCCTGGTTCTGTAGAAAAATAGAATGCATCTGATTGATCAAAAAATATATAGTAGCAACTGCATCAGCATAACATTGTGTAGGAACATTTATTTGAAACAAAAGAGCTCAAGCTGTGTCAAGAAGATGTCTATTCTTCCTTTCAGCCACTCTACTTTGGGATGGAGTATCAACATAGGAAGATTGGTGAAGCATCCCATTTTGCATCATGGAATACTGAAAAAGTAAAGAAAAATATTCTTTGGCACTATTACTTATCAAAATTTTAACTGAAACATTGAATTGAGTTTTAATTTTGGCACAAAAAAAATATTGAAAATGTGATAGTAACTCGGTACAAGATTTCATAAGTCATGTCATACAAGAAAAATCATCCACAAAAGTGACAAAATAACGAATTTCATTAAATAAAATAAAAGAAAGTCCCCACACATTAGAATGAACCAATTAAAAACTATGAATTACTCTTTCATTAACTTTGGGAAAATAATACAAATGATGGTGTTTAGCAAATTGACACGACTAACAATCTAAAGATGATAACTGCTGAAACTGAAGGTATAATTTTTTTTAGCATTGATAGTGATGGATGTTAAATCGGCAATAGATCTAAAAAGAAGATAGGCTTTGGAACAGTCTAAGGGTCAGGGTACCTCATTATCCAAAATGAGTACCCCCTGATTCTCATGTTTTACCAATAATCTTCTTTATCATAAGATCCTAAAATAGACAATGGTAGGAAAAGAATAAGATACAACAATTGAGAGCATATGTAATTTTTCTAACATAAGATTAAAAAGTGAATTGAGCTAAAGTGAGGATAGAATTTAGGGGCAATGTGAGTGTAATATTAATGGAGTTAGAACTAAAAACATTAGAGCTAGATCCATCTGCTAAAGTGACGGAAGACAGGTGCCTATGAAAAGTAGAAAAGAGTTTCAGATTACCTGTCATGTGATATGCAACACCATAATCAAATGACCCATTATGTGGAAGAGAAAAGAAGACAACTATCATTATTACCTGACTCAGCAAGGGCAATGATAGAAAAGAATTTTTAGCTGCATCCTAAAATTTGATGAACTTAGTTTATTTATCTAAAGAGATCGAGAGAGCAGATAAACTTAGAATATTCATTTGCTAAAGTGACAGATGACAGGTGCTTATGAAAAGTAGAAAACAGTATTGATTACCTCTCATGTGATATGTAGCACCAAAATCAATGACCCATAATGTGGAAGAGAAACGAAGACATGTGTTATTGTTACATGACTCAACAAGCGCAGTGATAGACGGAGTTTTCTTGGATGTTTCTTGAAATTTCATGAACTTATTATATTCATCTGTAGAGATCGAGAGTCTGACTCAGAGAAGCCTCATTAGTTGTGATCATATGAGTTGATTGTGATTTTGAACCCTTTTGGTTCTTTTTGAGCAACTTTTGACACAGTTTCTTCGTGAAACCAGATTCATGACAGTAATACTACCTTCAACCTTAAATTTTTTAAATTTGAAAAGGAAGAAACAACACAGAGCCTTCGTTTGTTTTGACACAGTTTCTTCGTGAGACCAGATTCATGACCGTAATACTACCTTCAACCTTAAATTTTTTAAATTTGTAGTTCCACTTGTGCAATTGTCCTGAGACTAAGGCTTACTGATGTTTGTATTTTTTAACTAGTGAAAACACTAGGTTATTATACAGATGAGGCATGAAAACTTGGAATAGTACGCAGTACTCTAGCATAAGCTCCCCTCAGAGTAGTACATCTAGGGTCAAATAAGATTTGTGAATTGACAACTTCATACTGAGAGTTGAGACTAACTAGACAACTCATAATAGCTATGTGTTCTCTTTAAGTCTGTTGAATCCGGACATCGGTACTGAAGATCATCAGTGTGTTCAATTCTTCATACATATGTTTGAAGTGCATGTGATACATATTAAGTGACTCATCTTATTGTTCAACTCGATAGAACCCCTTGCATACATCAAAGATTCAAAAAATATTTTCTTAAAAAAACACAAACATCAATTCCTCCATCGCATCTTTAACACAGTCGCAATGAGTAATATGATTAGATTGATATGGTTCGATAAAATTCCATATTTGTATCAATAGCCGAGCATCCACTCTCATCCACTTAGAATAATTCGACTCGGTCTTATGGGGGATTATCAGTGAGGCGACTCTCTAAAGAAATACTCCTTAAATAATCTCAAAGTTTTATTACAGTAAAAATAATTGATGTCATTTAAGTTTTCAACCGTAAACTTAGTCACTGAAGAAAGCAAACTTGACTTTGTGTTGATGAGTCATAATCAATGTCATTCAGTGTTGAAGGACGAACTTCCAAAACATTAGAAGGCCAATAACTTGACAACTCATGGTTCAACTATCGCCTTGAACTGCCAAAGCCAAACAAAGGCGTACAAAACCGAAGAAATCGACCTAAGCAAAATCAAGCAGACAGTGGAACACAACAACCGAGTAAATAAACCTAACCAGACGTCGACGAAGCCAGAACAAGCCTGAGCCAAAAACGAAAGATAAAGTGGTAGACGAACCGCTTCCATAAGAAGCCGACAAAGAAGTCGACGCAAACGAAGCTTTGACCAATGCCCTAATCCAATCACAATAACAAAAAGCTTCGATCAGTAAAAATGAGACCGTAAGATGCAGCCATAACTTTCGTGAGTTAATACTGCACTCACTTCGACGAATGACATAGGTGATCAAAGAGGAAGCTTCAACGAACAATGCAGCGCATATTGACAACGAACGATGAAATGATCGATGTCGATGAAGATGATCGATGCAGTCAAGGTAGCACTCACGTGCGAGGAATGAAGCTGAACAAAAGAGGTAGCTAGTTATGCATAGCCTGATACCATGTGATGAAAAACTTCCTTTCTTCTTATTATTCAATTGAAAGCATATATTACATATTTATGAACACTTTCAACTCTCTATATTAGGAATAACTCTAGTATAGAAAGATTCTCGAATTAGATCTCTTCTAATTAAGTTGTCTAATATTAAGTTTCTCAATATACAAGCTTCCTAATATTCAAGATTCAGAATTATGACCTTCCATAACACTAAGTAAATCTACAAGAATTGAGTGGTTTGTATGCAAATCATCCTTGTCAAAATTAAGGGCAGACCACAGTTTATTAAGAAAAAGGAAATCAAAGGTGATGTCCAGTGCAAAACACTATCCTATAAAGCTTTACTCACGAGCAATCAAAACCAGGACAGTTAAAACAATGCATTTATATAAATGAATAAATAAAATATCATGAATCAATGAAAGGAGGAATTGACCACAGAAAAATATGTACCTTATCAAAGTTGAATTGGTCGCAGTGTAATCCCTCGTTCCTTGGTAAATCCCACTGACGGTTTGCATAACTAAATGAATAGTTATTACCTGGCGATGGAAACTCAACTCTCTGGTCAAAAAAAGGAGGAATGACATGCAATCAAATATCCATCTTTTTTCCAACTCTGATTTGAATACGGCAGCTACAAAAGAATAATTTGAAAGAAATAATATGTGATTAGTGCAAGATTGGTAAATAAAAAATCTCACATTTGGGTGACCAAATTCATTGCCCATAAAATTTAGATATGCCGGGCCACTTATAGTAAATGTAATCAACTTCATCATCTGCATGAAGAAAGTAAATGCCTCTGTAAAACAGAAATAGTTTGGAGAATGAAGCCATTAAAAATACTTCTTCTAATATTCAGTTCAACAAAGAATACCAGTCCAACCATAAGGTCAATAACAGATTTAGTGAAGAACGATACAAGGGGCAAGAAGTGAGAAAACAGGTGTCATAATTTTTTAAATGAAGACGCAAAATTCAGTTCAAAATACTCACGGTTCACAGATGGCATAAAATGGCATGCACATAGTACGGATTTAATAATAAAATCGGATATTACTCATAATAACAGGTACTATGTAATAATGGCAAATCATGTGAAATAAGGCTAGCTAGCAGAGATGAGAAGAATACAAGAAAGTGCAAGAGTTCCATACTTGTTAAATATCAAAATATGTAAATCCATCCAGCATGCGTAGGAATCTGGCTCTTTCTTGTTAAATAGGTAAATCCATCCAGCATGCGTAGGAATCTGGCTCTTATTTCAAACAAACCAAGGTCTGAGATGGACCGATGAGAATTAAACCCATTAATACTTCTATATTTGATAATGCCAGTTTGACAGCTTAACTTTATTTGCTCTAAATTTTCATCTGACAATATTTTTTAAACTTTAAATCTTCATCTGCAATAAATATGAATCATAGTTGTCCGCTTAAAAATAGTTCACACAAGTCTAAATCAGATAGCAGCCTCTCGAACAACTTTGAAGCATCCCAAAAGAATCATGACATATCAAAAGATGCAGAAGGAAATAATCAATTAAAATTCACCCAAGATGTTCTAAGCAGTTTTGAAAGAACATTCTCTTCAATACATTAGCCACTGATTTCTTGTAATTACATATTAAATCAAACAAGATATCATTTTCAATCGAAACTCCGATGATCTAATTAGGTATTTGATTAGGACAATTGATATGGACCTAATCACTTGATTAGATCAACATCCAAACCAGATTTTAAAACTATGCATTGATATAGATTAAATGATTCAATAAAAAGTTTAACTGCGCTTACCATTGTTTAATGGTGGACAATGGCAAAAAATTGGCTGAAAGTGTCAATGCAGTCCGAGCATGGTTAAGATTATTAAGTCCAAATTGCATGAATTGATGAATGATTTTAGGGAAGGAAATGGATAAAACCAAATTAATGGAATGAAAAAACATGAATAAAAGGGAATCAAGAAGAGTAGAGATACATTGAAACATATAATTTATTTCAAAACAACGGAAGCAATAGCAGCAGGAGAAATGAAACAAGTAAAAAGCCATTAAAATAGACAATATTAAAGAGTGGTTGAATTTCTTCAATCACCTGAATAAATTCCATGAATGGAACATGAGGAATGCACGTAAGATTTACCAATATATGGTGGAATTTGTTTATCAGGTAAATTAATTTTATCAGGTAAATTACTTTCTTAGGATAGTACATTGTAGCGGTGGATGCAATGCATATTGGATTTAAACTATAGGTCAAATGTACGCACTTTATAATTTTGGCTAATATTCTAAAGTTTCAGTCTCTATAGGATGCAGGCTATATGCAATCTCCATCATTTGTCAGTTTACATGTTTATCCTGAATGTTTTGCTCTACTGCAAGAAAAACTTGTAGCAATCAAAATATAAAAAGTGATTAGTTCTACTATAGAAATCATACATATGGTTGCAAAAAACAAAAAGTGAATAGTTCTACTATAGAAATCATACATATAGTTGGCTCCAAAGGAAATTTAGTAGTTGAAGCCGAATGATAATCTTGTCGGTCTCAAATTCCATGCTGAAAGGTTATTTTTAATCTTGAGGCATCAACATTAACGGGTCACTTTGTCCTTGGATTACAAGACTCAATTAATAACATGTGCACACGTATTATTAGCATTTTCCATCCAATGCAGATGAGAATGGTTTTTCGACAAAGTTTGGCATTATTCCATCGCCCATTAGAATGATTATCCTCTTAAGTTAGTTTAAAAGCATGTCATCAAAATGAAAGACCACAAAATTCAAGTGCCGCAGACTGCGAATAATTCAAAATAAAATTTCTTCAGCTTTCATGATGTGGTGCATACAATATGCATCCAAGAGTGGGCTGATACAATAATTATGGAATTATATATCCTCGCTTTCATTTGTTAAATTAAAAACAAAACCAACCTCCATGACATAGGTATACCCTTTATGTTAAACACTTCAGCTAATTTGAAGGAACCACACTGCAAAACTCAGTTAATTGCCATCTAACCTAAGCCATTCATTCTGACACCTTCCAATGAATGGTTATCATGTACAATACCAAGAAGACAAGCCTGAAGCCGTGGTTTGTGCTATGGAAATAACCATTCTATAGAAGCAAGAGAAAGGCCGTATACATCAACCCCCTCCCCAAAACCAGCATTAACAGGACCTCTAAGCATTATCATGCACATTATCAGTTTCTATAAGGTTGAAAACTGACCTTGATAAGGCATTCAAAGTTGATAAGTATAGAAACAAATGAGCATTCTTCCTGTTAAAAGAAACACAACATACATTTATTTTTAACCATTTTCTTCACATAAATTTACATTCACATTAACAAAGGCTTGGTAGACAATGGTGTGACATGTCTCGCACCCATTTCCTCCTTCAACACACAATTAGCAATCAATTTTACCGTATAATCCATCATATAATTGCTTCGTAAGCATGTGTTATAGAGACCATATTATGATATACTATGCAAAATTTTTGTTCTTTATTCATTCCTATTGGATGCTATGTAAGACATCAAATTTGTTATGTAAATATTTTCACAATTTCATATTACCATTTGTTCTACACCTTTTTTCCTAATCATTCAACATTAACTTCAATTAGAGGCCTTATTTATTTATCTTCTACCATTCATCATAAAGGCATGAACCATCGAAGGGACTATGACGCGGGAGCTCCCCCGCATGAGACCCTTTTCACGATCCTGCTACAATCTAGCGACCCTTGCTACAGTCCCATGACCGCTCCCACTTTTGGACAAGTTGCAGTGAAACTTGGGCGACTTGGACCGGTTTATACCGGGAGGAAGACAATCCTTACGTGGATTTGGTACCTCCTTTCAAAAATGGGCTCAACCCTAATTACTTAGGACTTAAATATTTGATTATTATGTTTAAATTTTTAGTTTCGTCATGCTTCTGTTCAGGATAGCAATCACCATCCTGATTTCTCCGTTCTAGGGTTATATCCAAAGGCAGGTGGTGCTCAGATTGTGGCTCATCCGAGACGAAGACCTTCCAAAAGTCGAGTGGTACTCTAGTTGTAGCTCATTCCCAAGGGAGTATTTATTCCGACCTTCCCTTACAACACCCCTCGCTTCGCTGTCATGCCTCTTTCCTTGTTACAGCAGCCTAACAAAGCCGCAGTTGCTATTCACTCCTGCAGTTCTCCTCTTTCCAACCAACTTCCTTCCACAATCCCTATTGTCCTCCTTCCAAATTAGCCGCCAGCCCTCTTTGTTACTGTTTCTGGTATCCCGTAGCCTTCAAGCCTCCCCCGACCAGCTGTCCCTACTGTATTACTACAGTTTTCACCTTCCCAGCCACGGCCTCGGCTGACCGCTTCATTGTCTTTGCAGTCCCAGTCCTTCACCTTCGCGGCCGCAGCCCGTAACACCTTCCCTATGCTGATTTCTTGCTGTCTAGCAGCCCCAAACAGCAAACTACTGAAATTTGGACTGCCTTCCCTTGCTGCCCTGTTGTTCCAGCTACCAATAATCAATGTCTCCCCTCATCTACAAGCCAGAAACCCCTTCCCTACGTTGTCCTCACCTCTCCAAGCCCTCTGACCGTCACCACCATCACGCGGGATTCGCCCTAACGTGAGTTGCATTTCATGTGTTGTATTTTTCCCTTTCAAGTGAGTTTGATTGTAACCACTTATTTGCTTATCGTAATAATATTATTTTTTCAATTGTTTTTTTGGTTACTCTGGTACAGCCTATTTCTTTAAAGACTTACTTCAACCTTAAAAGAAAAGTTGGATTTATAGAGATGAAATTTGCTAAGTAAAATATCTAGTATGTTAAACAGATAAGCAAACATGAGCTCATAAACTATTTGGTAAAATTGTAAGTTTAAGTTCTATCAGATTTATAAATATAATCACATGAAGCTCATAGTTAGATAAATTAAGGGTCTGTTTGGGGTAGCTCTAGCTTATTAAAAAAACTGCTGCATAACAGTTGTGCCAGGAAGCTGCTGCTGAAAAGCCGGATCCTCACTTCAATTCTTCTCAAAATTTTCAATTTTTTTTTAATTGATCCCACTTGTTTTTCAATAGCATCCTATTGCACTCCCTTCCTGTTCATTCTTTGAACTTTTTTATAATCTTTTGCCAGCCCTCATTGTTAAATTAGGATGTTGGTCTATTTCCCAATTCTACCTCCTTAAGACAGAGGTTGCAAAATATTAAGTTGGCATCTTTATACCACATACAAATGAATTTAAAATATCACAACTCAAAGGGGTAAATGAAAAGAAACATCACCACAAAACCACTACCACACCACACAACTGTCACCATCACATTACCACACCACCACAAACATCAAAATCACACCACGCCAATACCACAACAACAACACCACACCAACACCACTACCGACACCAACACCACTACCACACCACACAACCACCAACACATCGCAATCACTATCAACATATCATCACCACCACCACATTAACAACAACACCACCAACATCAACAACACACCACACAGCTACCCCAACACCAACACCAACACCAACACCAATACCACACCAAAAAACAAGCATTAGTTTTGGGTTCCCGGCTACCCCAACACCAACACCAACACCAACACCACACCAAAAAACAAGCATTAGTTTTGGGTTCCCTCTATGTAGTTGACCCAAAATAATGTTATCAACAAATCAAGCACCCTCTTTTATACATTTTTCAAATTCTCACTCAGAAACCCCATCCCATATTTTTCATTTGAGGCAATTACATACAGGGCACCCGAAACATTGCTATCAACAAATCAAGCATTCTCTTTCATTCATTTTCAAATTCTCACTCAAACATCAAAGGTAAACATAAAACCCCATTCTATACCCAATTCCAAATTTCTCAGTTGAGACAATTACATACAGGACATCTGAAACCGTTGCTATCCACAAATCAAGCACCTTCTCCTTTCATCCATTTTTCAAATTCTCACTCAAACATCAAAGGCAAAGATAAAACCCCATTCTATTTTCTTCATTTTTATCACATTCACAATTGTTTGATTGTGGCAAGCGTAAACGCATTAACTAAAAAAATCGCAAAATTCAAATTCTCAATCATAAAGAGAAAGTCACAAATCGCAAAATCTAAATTTTCACTTCAAACTGCAAATGAGAAAACCACAAATCCCAAAGAGAAGACCTTTCCATCGAAAATTAATATATGATAGCATGGGAGGACGGACGGGACGGTAACCAAACAAAGCCATAGATCAGAGGGAAAACGGAAAGTAGAAAGGCAACCCGTTACCAACGTAGCTCGGAGGGAAGACAAAGAGGAGAAAAGCAACACGTTGTCACCGAAGAGAAGCGCGAGAAAGCCGCGAGAGAGACGAGCAATCGAGAAAGGAGTTATCTAGGGCAGAAGCGCGAGAAGGGAGCCGTCTCGGGATATCAAAGGGCAGCGAAGTAATAAATTTGGGAAGAAAAGCGGACCGTGGGGTAGAACCCGAGGCTTGCATTTAACATAAATTATTTAGAAAAGTCACTGCACCGCAGTTTCCAAATGCTTCATCCGACATTTTCAAAACGCACCACGCCAAAACAACCGCCCCAAACGGGTCATAAAGAAATGTCGGTAAAGCCTGGCCCAGCCTAAGATAAATTGCTTCTTTCCTAGCTATCTGTGTGAAAGAGGGGAGGGGACAGAGTCAATCGACATGCTTGAAGTTCTCATTTATGGCAATCACATCACCAACAAGCTCAAAGATCATCACTAAGGTCACTCTACCAAAAAACGCTTGTAAACGCTGCAAAATTTTCTCAAATTATTACAGATGCTACCTCTTCCTCATCAATCATCCTTAATTTTAAAATTATCCATAAAGAACTAAGGAAAGTTCATGCATTTCTTTAGAAACAATGGAGTCTAATTTTGCTGGATCTAAAAGAAGAAATAATGTCCATTACTTTTATTTCTCACAAAGAAACTATGTCCAATTGATGAAGCTACATACTGTAATCACCAAAAGGATCTCAACATCGCCTTTGAATAATTAAGATTTTTCATCATTCGTTTCATGAACCTAATGGCACCAAACAAGCAATATCATTGGCTATCATTCACATGATTATTACAGATGAGATTAGGGGCCCGTTTGAGGCAGCTTATTTGGTGCAGTGGCGTTTTGAAAATGCACCAAGCCTGGTTTGGTAATGTTTGGGTAAACTATGTTTTGACAGTTTATGCGTTTTCAAAATGCTGAAAAAAGCATTTTCACCCCGCACCTTTCTAGGTGCGGTGGCAGCTTTCTGGCTGCGGTCAAGCTTTTTTAAAAAAATAAAAGTTTGTAATAGCTAACACACCTAGCTTATCAACAAATTATTTTTAATCAGCTTATCAGCATATTATTCAATAAGCTGCAGCTGCCCCAAACAGACCCTAAGCCTAGCGAACTTTTTCAAAAACTAGGGTAAATTTTGTCATGTAACAAAATAAAAAATCTAATTGTTGGGTTTAAGCTTAACCAAACTTTTAGAAAAATATGGCTTAAAATTTGCTTAATTAAGTAAAAAACTCCAAATATATTATGATGGTTTAAAATGCTTAAGCACCATCTAATCCCAAACAAAATAAATACCTTCTATCTAGTCATTATGTAATCTTTAATAACAGCTACACCAACTAACCCTGTACCATAGAAATTATCCAATTAACAATCCTAATTTTGAGACCCATCCATAATATATTCTCATTTCTAATCCCAAACAAAATAAACCCTAATTATCTAGTCATCATGTAATCTATAATAACCACTACACCAACTAATCCTGTAATATAGAAATTATCCGATTAACATTCCTAATTTTGAGACACCCATATTATAACCTCATTTCTACCACACCAACTTTGTTGTATATGAGAAATTACTGCACCAATCAAATTCATATAACATAGATTTACGAATTGCAATTTATTGAATCTCTTTGTTTTTCAATGATATTCCTCCTTGAGCATTTGTCCATATTGAAAATTGAATCATAACTCTATAAATTAAATCTCATATAATATCACTACTCTTCTACATAAAATATTTAAGATATGTAAACCCATTAAACCAACTAAAACAACATAATATATACCTAGTTACCTACAAATGGATATGTAGACATAAATTTGGAATACATATGACGCATAGTATATAACCATCGAGACAAGTCAATCTTCTTATTACTTGGCGCATTTCTTGAATCTATATTTTCATATGGATAAAAAAGGCATTACTATGCACTTTCAAAATAACAAGGCAAAAGTAAACAAATAAAACATCAAAAACACTAAAGTAAAATAGTGGCATACTTTGAGTAATGAAGAACCTCTTAAAACCATATCTTCTCTTTTGGAGGACTTATGTGCTTGTTTGCTCAATAGAATATCTGCAAAGGACCTTCCGCCCGACATGGACTGCCATATTATGATAGATGTGAAGGTAAGACATAAACAACTATAAGAAACTATTAATAAATAAATTGATACTAAATAAAACTTTGAAACATTAAATATTCACAAAAAAAAAATAAATAAATAAATAGCTACAATTACCTAATAGCTTGCGTTGGCACAATGAAGAATGAAGAGAGATGGAAGAAAGCCAACATCTTAATTACATAATGACTATCAACTTGCTCAAAACGCTAAGCTACTTTACAAGCTAGTTAAAACTTGAATGCTAACAAAGCCAATATTTTATTCTAAAAACAGGAACCTGGTTATGGTTTTCAACATAGACAAGCATCTTATCACTTCCTTGACTGTTTTTGACGAGTACATCCACAATCTGCACAAGATAAAAATTCATTTAGAGGTGAAATAACAAATATGGAAGTTGCCACCTTTGTGGATTAAATAAAAAAATTGTATTTTATATGTATCCATGACGCCTGATTCTCATTCATAGTTAAGCAAAGTAACTAACAGAGATATTCAACACACGTAAAATCAATACTTTAAACAATAGAAACTTATTAAATTAAAGATTTACAGACAAAACGCCTTACCTATGCATCAGAAGGTGTATTTCACTTTTTAAAACTTAAAAATGGTACAAAACACCTTACCTATGCATGAGAAGGTGTATTTCACTTTTTAAAACTTAAAAATGGTGATATTTTTGATGTGATATGAAAGAATTTGGTGTTATAAACGTTAAATTTAAAGTATAGAAGTTAAATATGTAAATACATAGGAATTGGGTGGAATGTATGTAAATGCCCTTAAATTAATACCTCAATTCAAATGAGTATTTATGATTGTCTGCACATGCAACCTTGACTAGAAGCATTAATGCCAAATTTAACTACGAGACACCTTAAAATGCAACTCACCAAAACAACAATGTGAATAAGTTGCAATCACAGCATTAAAAATTGTTATCATGGCCACACGGTAAACGGAAATTCATCATCAAAAGTGTTCAGCGCCAAGGATAAAATAAACAAACTAAAGAAGAATTTACACGGAATATTTCAAATAAACTCTAAATCTCAATGAAAATTAAAACAGTATCTTTGAAGTAGACACAAAATTTAATTAATACGAAGTATGCCGCAATTCATGGAACCCTGTTTCAACAAAACTTAGGTCAAGTTTTGATTCCAGCACTAAGAAACATCACATCTAAATTCATATATAAACACGCATACACATTTTGGCAACAATGATATCGGAGTTAACCCAAATCCCAATAAAAAAAATAAATATTAATGCTAAAAGCAAATAAACAATTACAACCAAACATGCTTGCAAGGGAAATTACAATAAATAGGACGCAAACACATGCTAGGGTCAATTAGTGGGGTGGTGGAGATGAGCATGGTGGTTGGGAAGCGGTGGTCAAGGTTGAAATGGGTTGTGAGTTGCTGGGACAGCTAAAGCGGAGCTTGAATTGCATTGGCAGCAAAGCGAAAGGCCTAGGATAGCAGCGACATTGAAGTGGAAGGCTGGGACAGCAAGGGGCAACGAAGTGGAGAGCTGGGGCAGCGAGGGGAAGCGAAGGGGGAGGTGGTGGACTACGGGAGAGCAAAGGGAGGGCTGCCAAGGAACTGCTACAGTAAAGGGGATGGTTGGAAAGGTTGCAAAGGAGTTGGGTAAAGATAAATATCCCTACGAGATCGAGCTATAGTCAGAGCACTACTCGAACCCTTGGAGAAAGTCACCACCTCAGACAAGTTACAGCCAGAAAACCTTCTCGCCTCCGGATATAGTCCTAGAAGGGGAGCACTAGCAGCTGACGGCTCTCCTGAACATAAGCATACATAAAACTATCCTAAACATGCAAAAATAACAAATATATAGTCCTAGGGTAAATAGGACTGGGCCCCGCACTAAATATGAGAGAAATCCACGAAGAGGAAGTGTCGAACAACCCACTTGAAGCAGTCTGAGCCGAAAACTCCAACGGAACCGTAGTAGGGATCACAAACGGCTCCTTGCATGACCGCTCCACGCGAGACAGCAACTAGAATTGTAGCACAAAAGAAGGGGTGAAGTCGCAGAACTCATTGTGGGTAGCTCCACGTCAATATCTCGAGGTTGGGGGAGCTTTAACATCATCTGTCGAAGCTTATCTCCCCATAGTGATTAGGTCAACCCAGTTGAAAGTATCTAAAATGGTATACTCTCTTGGTAAGTCAATCTTATAGGCATGGACATTCCAAAGGACATCCTGATAGAATAAATATGCATTCATTCTTTGCACAACCTGAACAGGAGCTATAAAACGATATAGGTTCTCATGAGCCAAATCCTAACAACAACAAGCCTTTATTCCACTAAGTGGGAATGGTTACACAAATCCTGTTTTTCCACTGTGTCCTATTGAGTGTCATATTTTTATTTCATTCGAATAAATTAAGATCATTTTTTATACAATATGCCCAAGTCTTTTTAGGTTTATCTCTACCTTTCTTCATATAAGTCGAATCTAAAACATCTACTCTCCTAACCGAATTATCATATGGTAGACGTTTAATGTGACCAAACTATCTAAGACGACTCTCTCTAATCTTGTTTACCACAGGAGCTACAAACCCTTTAATAGATATATTTTTTGTTTAAATGTGGAAAGCCACTCATCCACCTAAGCATTCTCATCTCAACAATTGTTAACATAGTTTTATGTCTCTATTTTATAGGACAACATTATGCGCCAAAAAACACTGCAGAACTCACCGTCATTTTATAAAACTTTTATTTAAGGCTAAGCGATGTTTTTAAATCACACAATAGGTCTGATGCATTCCTCCACTGCAACCATCCAGCTTGAATTCTACCAATATCATCCTCATCTATATCACTGTCACTTTGAACACAAAACCCTAGATATCTAAAATATATACTCCATTTAATGAATTAATCACCCACTGTTACAACTCTGCCACTAAATCTACTACTACTAAAATTAGATTCTATATAATCAATCTTAGATCTACTCAAAAGAAGGCCTTTAGACTCTAAATTAACCTCCATAATTCAAGTGTTTCCTAAACTCTTCTCTAGTTTTATACACAAGAAGGATATCATCAACGAAAAGCATCCTGTAAACTTCCCGTAAAACCATCCATAACTAAAGCAAAAATATACAGGCTTAAAGCCAATCCCTAATGTAATCCACCTGAAATTAAAAAAAAAAACTTGATCAATCCTCCTGTTTGAACACGAGTAACAACTCTAGTATACAAATCTTTAATGACTTGAATATAAGTTATATCAACGCATTTATTTTCTAAAACTCTCAAAAAAAACTTCTCTTAAAACCTTATTGTAAGTTTTTTCTAAATCAATAAAAATCATATATACACCCTCCTTACTCTCTCTGAACTTCTCCATCAAATTTTTCAATAAATGCATAGCTTCCATAGTAGACTTGCCCAGTATAAATCCAAACTGATTATCAGAAATATATGTATCACGTCGTAACCTATGTTAAATTACTCTATTCCATAATTTTATTTTATATCACAATAACCAAATTCCTTTATAATTTGCACACTCAAGTGCACCCCTTTATTCTTAAAAATGCGGACCAAAATACTCTTCCTCCACTGATGCATCTTTTTATTTTTTTAAGAAAATATTAAAAAGTTTAATAAGCCAAGAAATTCTTAAATTTAGAAAGAATTGAAGCGAGGACCCACTAACTTGGGTTAGGATCCGATAAAGAGAACAATTGATGTTTCAGAAGACCGGAGGGCAGAGAGACTGGCGGTGATCATTTTTGAAATCTCTACTATTTTTTATTTTTCTTTCAAATCTATAAACATGTCATATGAATTTGTAGGTAGTATCAGCTACAAAAAAAATTTGAATACAGTGGCATCAATCTTGAGTTAGAAGATAAATTAGATCGTATGTTTAGTAGTGTTGTGGCAACGGGTAACAATGCAGGTGCCCCCAATGAGGTGGGGTTTGGTGGCATACCTTAAAATTTGGCAACTAAAATATTTGCATACGAACTACGCACATAGAGCTGCGTGCGTAATAACCTCTCAATAACCTCCGTTTCGCGGGTATTCAGGGGATATTGGAAGTATCATATAACCCCAATAACCTTCCAATGACCTTCGCGGGTTTCATTTTGATATTATTCATAGGTTATTATGAGAGTATTGCGAGCTATTTTGATATTATTCATAGGTTATTATGAGGGTATTGCGAGGTTTACAGGTGTTCAATAAAAATCACAGAAACTGTGACTATTTTATGCGGACAGATGGGCTAGAAAATTTCATCATCGGGAGTGATCGAGCGTGGGAAGTTTCCCTGTAGAACGGCTTATCTCGTAACATACACCGTTTGCATTTTAAAAGTAATGTTATCATATTATTAATTTCTATTTCAATAGTCGTTTTCCTAATTTTGGTAATCATGTTACTATTTAGAGAGGTGTCTATTCAACTTGTTAATGTTCTGCACTGGATATTTGATTTAAACTATGAACTGTACTGGTATGAACAGTTCTGTTGCAAACAACATTACAATCTAGGGGCAAAATGATCATTTATCTAGAAACAACAACAACACAATTGTTTTCAAACTGCAAAAAACAAACAAACGACCAACTTCTATGCAGTAGCTTCCTGCCACAGCTGTTGCACGGCAGCGCAGTTGCCCCAAACAGACCCTCAAAATTTATCCTCTCAGATAAACATCCACCCTAAATCAACAAGAGTCCCTTGGACCACACAACCCATAGTTACTGACAATAATTGTTCAATCATGTTGGGTCGACAAACTCTTCCAACTTAGATTAAGGAAAACACCCGGGACGACAAAACCATGAAATTTTGATTGAGTTTGCATCGTTTGCCCCATGATCCACTTTAAGCTCAAGATGATAAATTAATTAATCTAAAACCCCAAGTCTACTACTCTTATACGATAAATATTCAACTTAATAATTAGCCATAATTAAAATTGTTCTCCCATTATCGAGAGGGATAATTAATCATAAAGGCAAACCCATACGAGAAACCTTGAACCCAGATCAAGAAGTCCTCACATAATAAGGGTGATATCTTTGGGTAGTGTATTATCTACAAACCAATCTACCTTTTAAAAATTTGACCTGGATTACCAAATAAAAAAGCTCTCTCTCAACGCCGACAGTCCGGGGAACAAATCTTTGAAGCCTGCAATAGCATGAAACACATACAATTTTACCATCATTGTATTTGGAAAAATATTCTTTTAAAGAGAATTGTTAGTGTTTTTGTCTACTTAAATGAATAGCTAGAAATAGATACGTTCATCATCATCATGACACCACATGTGTTACGTCCCTTATCCTTTCATGCCTATGATCATACAAGCCAAGCCAGAAATTAATTCTTCAATATCATGCAAATGCCATCAAGGAAGCAAATAGATTTTCCAAAGACTTCGGACAATTAGATAAGTAAAGGATGTTTCAAGTAAGTGTTGAATTTGTTAGCATAATTGAAACAATGAAGCTCACACTCACGTGATTTGTACCATGTAAGTGGAAACAAAACTCTACAGCAAAAAAATGAAAGTTGGGATGTTTGTATTGATTCCTAGATCTAAAGTTAAAAATTCAAAAAGCACTTTAGAATAAGATATGCTCAAAAATAGAATGGGAATAAGAAAGGCTCCTTAGAGAAACAAGTTTATGGCATTATCAGAAAGCACCAAAAAACAATGATAATTATAGTGTGTTTTTTTTTTTTTTAATTTTGATTTCTTATTTTGACTCTTAATCCTGCTCTTTGAAGCATCAAAGTGTAAAAACAAATTCTCAAGAGGTACCTTATTCATGCTCCACTCATGCTGAGGAACGTCTACTAGAAGCCAAAGCCACATGGTAGTGACAGAAACATTTACCCAATAGTCAAATCCTAATCCACCTTGACTAGTTGGCTCACATAATCCAGGATAAAATGTTGCCTGTATGAAGAGAAAAAGAAAAGCAAATTGAAAGAGGGCTATGCATGGATACAGCCGATAAACTTAGTTCATGATAGAGACAAGTCAGACTGAACAAATATTAATTATAGATATAAAAATACAGCAAATGCATCAGACCCAACACCACATAGTCTGAGAAACAGCAGAAACATAAAATCATGTTTGATAAAAAATCCATTACATCAAAAGTTTTGACAAAATAAACTAGAAAAAAATTTTACAGTTTTCTATAATGAAACAAAATTGCATAAAATAGGAACTACTGATAAATTGAGGAAAAAATAATCAACGTGTTTTAGCGGTTTAGTCAGATTCACATCCAGTTACTGGACACCAATTTAAAGGATATATTCCTACGACCAATAGCTACAGGAGTTAACCCAAAATCACAATAGAAATAAAATATTATTATTGAAAGTCAAAAAAGGTTACAACAACTACTCAAAATAAGAATAAAATAACACAAAAGACATAAACGGCAATCCAGGGTGAGAGTGTCAAGTCTGAAAGGGACTGGAGAGAGGTGCAGCGGTGTTGGAGGGCGGAGGTAATGGCAGCCAGCTGGAAGGTACTAGAGGTAAGTGCGACAGTGCTGGAGGGAGCGGAAAGTAACGGCGGCCTGCTGGAAGGGACTAGAGGTAGGTGTGGCAGTGTTGGACGGAGCAGGAAGTAACCCTGGCCTGCTGGAAGGGACTGAAGGCAGGTGCAACAGTGCTGTAGGGAGCAGAAAGAAACAGCAGCCTGCTGGAAGGTTTTGGAGGCAGGTGCCCCAGTTCTGGAGGAAGCAGGAAGTAACGACGGCCTGTTGGAAGGGACTGGAGGGAAGGTGGCTGCGAGCAGGGGTGACGCTGGTAAACTGGGAGGCAACAAGAAAAGAAGAACAAGTAAAGCTAATCACCACCTCGGACGATTTACAGCTAGAGCACCTTCTCTCCGTCGGATGCAGCCCGAGGAAAGAAGAGATGCCCAAATGCAGCAATCTGCAATAAAAAAACAATCAAAGTTGCACCCTAAGCAAATAAACATCATATATATTATATATATAATATTAGTTAGAATAGGATAGGGATAGAATATGAAGGGAATAGAATATGAAGAAAAAAGAATATGAAGGGTGTCACGCTCCAACTGGCCCCTTTATTAAAGGTCGACTGAGGTGCGACAGAGGCGGACAATTCGTCCAGACTAAAGTATCACCAACACTCGTCTTTTGCAGAATCATAACCAAGTGGGTGATGGACTATTCTAACTAAATTATTACAAACACACGTGATGCATTAGATTTCATAATTCATTCATATTTATACTCAGAATCGTGGAAAAAAATCATATCATCAAAACATATAAACTATCCAGAATTGTTAAATCAACATTGTGAAAAGAACTTTGTTGTTGCTGTAAAGGTTGCTGCTAGGAGCGTTAGGACTACATCCAGGGTTGCTTATGCTTCTACCACTGGATTCACACCCTCTGCACCAGTCGCTCTGCTAAACAAAGGATAGGAGATTTGTACAAAGAAGAGCTAGCCGATGCTTTTGCCCCTCCGTTTTCTGTATTCGAGAATGGGTCCAATTCAAATTTCCTGCGACTGACCAAGACACAGAAAATGAGGCGCAACCAGAAAATTCTAAGGGTCGAGAAGGCGAAAGCCGCAGAGTTGCCTACTACTGACACCGCCCTTCGACTGGAAAAGACAGGATTACGTGAGACCTCACCTCTTCACCAGTTGCCTGCTACCTACGGAATGGAGTCTATGAGGTTGCTACCACAGCACCATCGTCATCTCTCCATAATAGTCCAAAGCCAGTGACGACATTCAAAGAGAAATCTGAGAGAGTAACAACAGTGGATAAAGACAAGTAGTCAGTACAGATTCAGGCCGAGCAACCTCGACAGATCTACAGCATCCACAGCATAGCCAACACTACAACCAGCAAAATCTACAACAATACGGCCCGCAACACGGCAAATAGTCATCCTAGCAAGGGCCACACTACATAAATGAAAGACAGGGTCCGTCTGCGGTCAAGAAGTTGAACAAAGTATATTCTTTCAGAAAAGAAGTAGTAGCGAAGATATTCCTGGATCTAATCAGGATGTCTGAATTCAGATTACCATAGCCAAGGAAATCAGAGGAAGTCGACATAAAAGATCAATCCAATTATTGCCCATATCACAGATTGCTTGGGCATACCATAGAAAAATGCTTCAGCTTCAAAGAGTGGCTCGAGAAGAAGTTCCAAAACAGGAACATAACGATTCCGAAAGAGTATTTGATGGAATCTGAAGAAGGCTCTATCAAAATGATTTCGGTTGACCCAATTATTCCAATTGACTTCCACACGGCTACACCAGTACTCAAGAAAAGAAATGACACTCATAAAAAACCTCCAATTGACCATAAAGTTATCAAAGTAAAGTCGATCGAGGCTACGTTGGAGAAACTCATAGCTGACATCACGCAGTTATCCAAAGAGCGAAGAAAGTATACAGATGATGAAAACTACGATCCGTCAGATTACATGGAGGAAGAATTCGCACAAATCAACGTTGTTGAGACTAGGGTCACATCCTCCTCGCGCGATGCTCCTCTACCCACCGAGGGGAACGCCGCAGATGAATTTCAAAGGGCCATTTAGCAACGTGACGAACATATTGAATGCCTCGAAAAGAAAGTTGAGGAAATGATGATCGCTATGGCCACTATGCAAGGGCAGACAAAATCATCGTCGATAGCATATCCACAGGTGAACCAGCCAGAAATCATTCACATTGCTGATGAAAATAATAATTTAACCCAGAACATAATATCAAAGAAAGGCATTAAACAGATGGTGGAACGATAGGTGAGAGAAGCCCTGACTCAATCAAAGGGAGAAGCACTGATTCTGAAGGGTAGACCTTACCCAGAAGAGTTTGATGTTGTACAATACCCAAAGGGTTTCGTACTACCGTTGTTCAAGACTTTTGATGGGACTGAAAACCCTTGACAACATGTTACACACTTTCGAGCAAGTTGCTACAACGAGGGGGGTACGAAGCACTGTTATTCCGACTGTTTGTTAGCAGCCTTTCAGGAGTTGCTTTCGATTGGTACGCAGACTTACCTAATGACTAGGTTAAAACATTCGCATAATTGGAAGACATGTTCGTTAAACGGTTCACTGGGGCTCAACACCACATCACCGTAGATGATCTTGTGGTAGAGAAACAGAAGCCAGACGAAAATTTGATGGGCTACATTCTGCGATGAAGAAACTTGAGCATGAAGTGCGAGCTGCCGCTTCAGGAGCAGCACGCGATCGAGATTCTTCTGAAGAGCATCCACGGTCCAGTGGTCTTTATGCTTAAAGGGTTCACAATTAAGACACTTGAAAAGCTACTTGCCAAGGCTGGAAATCTGCAAGAAGAGGCCAAACAGTTGGGATTTATGGAAAGAACCGAAAAGTCAAGGCGGGTGAACACATTTGAAAAGAAGTCAGGAACAGTGGGCAGGTGAACACATTTGAAAAGAAGTCAGGAACAGTGGCAGCACTTGATAAAGACAAGCGGCCAATGCACATACAAGCCGAAAAGCTTCAGCTAACATACCAACGTCCTCAGCAACGAGATCAGCAGTTGTCTCAGCAGAGGCCCTATCGCACAGGAAGAGGGCCACCTTTGACAATAACATAACGGATGAATAAGATATATCCATTCAAGAATGAGTCTGTGGGAATGATGTTCGCAACTTGCTAAAAAAACTAGAATTTAGATTGTCGGCGCCGACAAAGTCAGAAGAGGCCAGCAAGAAGGATCGTCCTCAATACTGCCTGTATCACAGTTTGCTCGACCACACCATAGAAGACCGTTTCGACTTCAAGGACTGGCTTAAGAGAAACTTTAAAGTGGGGACATAACGATCCTGAAAGAATATTTGAGGGAACCAGAAAAAGGTTCTATCAATATGATTTTTGTCGATCTCAGTGTTCCGCTTGACCCCTTCGCAACTGGCGAAGAAGGGAATACAGTTCGGTTGGAGCCTTCGAAGAAAATAACAAACCAGATTCAAACTGCATGCGTACAAGCTACCATATAAAGTTTGAAACCTCTTACCTATTAAGGGATAGTAGATTTTGTCTTTTGATTTTTACTATTGGTATAAAAAAGGGGTTATCAAGCAAGATCACTGTCAGTGGGTCCCAACCCTCCCACCACAATAAAACAAGAAAAGAAAAGGAGTTGTCATTATTCAGAGTTCATCAGTATTTGAAACATCATTCAAAACGAGAAATGCTTGGTTGTCCATTTTCTGCAGACAATTTTACATCGAATGAAAAGAAAAAAAGTTAACTCGAACATTCAAAGTTCAATCGAAAAATGGGCGACTCTAAATAAATATTTTGATGCATTGACAATATCAAGACTTGAGGAAAGAATGAAATTAATGCTCTAATGACTGTCCTACACTTTAAAGAATTTGGACTAGGACCTAAGTGAATTTCAGAATAAAACAGTGTGATTAAAATACAAGTAATCGACTAAGAATATCACAAGTATTTTAATTTTCTGCCAAGTGACTGGGTCCTGACTTTCGAACGAGCTATAATATCACAGAATTTATCTTAAGAAATATTTGAGGATTATTGAGCAGGGGAGTTTGGACATTCAAAATCTTTAAAAAAAATATGTTCTATCAGATATAGTAATTCTCAGAAAACAAAAAAAGCCAAGAAAAATGATACAGAAAAATGGATTTGTTAAAACCTCCCTGAAAAAAAAAAGCATGAGGTGTGCACAAAATAAAAAAAAATTTGTGTTTGAGCTTAGACATTCAAAATCATTAAACGTGCTTCACAATATATGGTAATTCTCAGCAAAAAAAGAGGGATGGCAAATAAAAAATAAATTATGTGAAAGTATCCCTGAGAAGAAGCTTAAGGTAGACATATAATCAAAAATTGGTGTCTGAATCCACCCATAATCAATAAAACTTGAAA